GCGTACTTTGCAACTTGAACAAGGTCCCTACAAGTCATGATTGGGGGTTCGACTGACTTTCCTTTGGAAAGCTCCACGCAAGACTTGAGTAGGGGCCTTTGGTTTCCCTCCGTTTGTTCACGTTTTCGTCCCTAGCTGGGGATGTATGCTCCGGAGCTTGCGTCTTGGAATGTTGGGGACATAAATGGTTTGCCTTCTGAAAGATACGAGCGTGACGAAGCCTATCTATGTCTGAATCACATGGCTGATGTGCAGCCCGCTCATGCCTATGGTCAACCCATAAGCCCCTCAATCGTAGGCATGGCTAAAGTCTTCTTGAGACTTTTGGCATTTGTGACGGAGAAGCTGGCCGTGTGGGGGGTCATTCACTGGCGCGCGACCACGGAGCAGTGCACCGCATCTGCGCACCATACTGCAATTTGCATCAGCTACACGCGCTTGCCAGATGGAGGGCTTTACGTTCAAGGGGAAGAGCAAGAGCCCACTGACCCACAGTGAGCACGCGTCGCACCAGGCAGGTGTTTGCTGACAGCTCCAACGGTTTGTGTCGTTCCCGCCTGTGACCTCATCTTCTTTGCGATAGCTTCCCGGAAGGTTTTGGACATCGGCTTCTTTCGCAGCCCCCAAAGAAAAGGACTGGGCAGGGGCATTGTTAGAGTTCGCACTTGCGTTTTTATCTCGCCCTCACGCACCGAGCTGGGTTGAAAGATGTTTCAGGGGTGGGACGAAAGGATCGAGGCACCAATGCTTGCATCCTGCAGTTCTGTCCAGCATGCGCTGCTTATGGCAAGAGGGACGCATCTGCCCGAAGCGCAGCAGCCTCCAGGAAGCGAAAGGCTGGGCCTGCCAGCATTCCCAGCAGCTTCCAGCAAAGCGCGCCCGCGCAGGCACGCAGAGAGGCTCTGCAGCCGATGCGACTTGCCTCCAGCTCATGTGCTGCATTTGCGTTCCACAAAATGGCGTGTGCCATTTGCAAGTCACCAGAAGCCTTGTGGAAAGTGTTTTCTAGGAGTACGCGCAAACCGTGCTGGGAATCGAACGAGGTTGCTACGCAATCTGCGCCCCATTGCGCCCTCGTTGAGGGGAGGTGCACGGGGAGGGTAGCAGGTCTCGAGGAAAAGCGCATTTCATGTGTCGAACACGCTGTCTGTAGTCGGCGGATGTTAAGGTTACAACCATGGTTTTTGCGTCTACTTGTAAATGTATGGTTCGAAGAGACGTAATTTGAAGTTACCCCGAAGCGTTGCGTTTTTCAAGGGCTTGACGGCAACCTATACCCCAAGCTAGACCGAGGACTCGACGGCCACCGAAACGCTAACCCTACATTGAATTCTTGGGCGCAAGCAAGACACGAAACCTAGACCTAGAGTGACATACACCCCTAAGCCGCAAGCTGAGGGTTTGAGGGTATGTTGTAAGCCGAAACTGAAGGCTTGCGAGGGCAACTCAAGCCCTAACTCAGGACCTGAGGGCTTGACAGCCGAAACTCTCAGGGCTTGAAGCCAAGCCAGATAATGCCAACCTGTGGTGAGAGGGTCTTCTGCCCAGGTAGTTGCCTTCAATGTCCATTTTGACGGTTCATCCAAGCATTGCAAAACCAAGAGCCCTTACCCGCGGCGTGCAGAGCAACAAAGTGAGCAAGCGGGGCGAACCAACATGTGCTGCATCATGTTGCATCCGGAAACGATGTCGGGAACAAGTGTTTGGGGAGCCGCTGTCAAATGTCTGGCGGGTTTTTGTTAATAGCTAGCCATCTTAGGGCGAAAACAACAGGGCGTCTCATCAATTTTGGACACCAACTGAGACTAATTAAACAGCTGGTCTATATGTTTGGGGAGGATACGAGTTATGAGTTCCCACCCATTTTCCAGGAAATTTCACGGGCATCGGTATTTGTGTTTCGACTTTAGTGCAGCTGCCGCATCTTTTCGCAGGATATGCCGGATTCCGTGGTCGCAAGAGGCATCCCCTTCGACATCCATTCCCTCGAGGAGGGTGGTTTGGATTGTTGGTTTGGGGGTTTCAACCCCTCGTTCCTGCAGAGGGTAAGTGGGAAACCACCCCCTAACCTCCAACGCTGCTTGTTGTTGTTTTTTGGGGCTGCTTTGGAGGAATCTCGAATAGAGGGCTCGCGCACCCTATTGAGTTTCCATGTTGGACAATGCTTGGACCCTTTGTCCGAGCGACAAGCTTGACTCGTGGGGTTGAAGGTGTGTTGGGCAAGTGGCTTCATCAACCAGCCTAGCATGAAGAACAGGTCAAAACCAAGAGTTGCCACTGAGTGCTCGGTGCTCGGCTCAGTTCACTCTATTTTGAATTTAAGGTAATTTTGAGCTGCTTTCGAAGCCAGAAGTAAAAACCAACCAGCTGGCTCCCTCAGTCAACTAACATTTGGCAGAACTCGTGTGTGAGCGAAAGACTGAGGAGTCGCTGCGGGATCGGGACATCCAGTTGTGGATGATGCCCGGCTCTTGATTCGCACTGAACTTCTCGCTTGTTGGTTGGGGGTCGGGGCCGGTGGGGCTTTCTGTTGGTGTGGAAAAATATGGCTTGACCCGAAAAGCCCAGAAACGCAGAAGGTTTAGGCCAGGAACCCCCAACGACTGCTTTTTGGACGGCGCTGGAGCTTTGTATCATGGGGAAAAGCACTCGTGGCCGGGGCGGGCTTGAGATTTCCACGGGTCCGATCGGGGCTCGTAAAGAACCCCAGGCTCCAAAGATCTCCAAAGCCTTACGCCCCGGCTTGGTTTTTTGCATACACCTCGAACTGCCCGAAAAGGGCTTCTTGGGGGGGGGGCGGTGTGGAGGGGGGAAGTGTATCAGGACCTTTGGGCATACACCTCTGAAAACCACAGCCCAATGCTCGTGCAAGAGCCTTGCTTGGGGTCCCACAACTGTCACACCTGCAACGCATTTCATACCGTGCTTGGGGGAGTCGGGAGTCTTGCACTCAGTGGGTGTTTCTGAAAGTGGTGGACTTGCTTTTTGATGGTATGCAAACGGAGGCCAAAAGGAAACCGTTCCGACCTCCTTTGGATTGGCATGTAAAAGGAGGCCAAAAGGAAGCTTTCAGGAGGCCGGTTGCGTTTTTTTTTGAGACCCCCAAGTGCGGTCCCAGAATCAGTTTCTGTCGGGTGCAGGTTGGTGAAGCGCCGAAGAGCCGGTGCCTTTTGTGGGAGTCTGAGGTACAACGACGAGGACGACGAGGCGGATCCGAAGGCCTACACCCGGCATAACAAGGCGCCGGGGTGCCGGCATTTGCTCATTTGCATCCAGCGCTGTTTGCAGCACCAAGGGCCTTTGACGGCTATCAAATGGCAGCCCAAGTGCCTTGATTTTTGGGATGTTTGAGGCAAATGGTTACCTTGAAGGTGCTGGGCAAGTTTAGTAGGTTCTACCTGGCCTCATTGAGGGTATGAATTGTATAGAGATTGATCAGCTTCTCAGTGGAAGCAACAGGCCATGGGTTTTGGGTGTTGCTCAGATGAACACTGGCAAATGGAGCCAGCATTTCAATGGTTACATGTTTTGTTGGCAAGTTGACCAGTGGCCCCGGACCCATGGCAACCGGGGCGGGGGGTGGTTTGGATAAAGTATGATATATTTTTCCTCACGCATTTCTCGGGTTCCGTGGCAAGGTATTTCGGGTTCACTTTGGTGGGAAGCACCCCCAAAGTGACATCCTGAAACTTCACCTACCTAATTACGGCAGCCACCGGTTCCCAAAATTAGCTTAAGAACCCAAAGTGCACCCAAAGCATCGTGGCGCAAGAAGACACCCACCAGGCAACCACAACCTGAACATAAGAGGTCCTGTGCTTTGTGTACTCATGGTGCTGTCTGCCTTTTCCTCCCTGCAGATTAACATGGAACCCGCCAAACACCTTTTGTAGAGGAGTCTCGTTTTGGGGGGTCCTCATGGTTCCCCGTCAATCTGCAGGAAAGTACGTCTGACCCAAAACCTCTGTGGGCCTAAACCCTCTCCTGCGAGTTCGGCTGTTCAGCCAGGGCCCTCAACGCCTCGGGGAACTCTTTCTCAAGATGCAGGCGGCCGGCAAAGCCTGAGAAAGCACACCTTTCCGCCAAGGGCTGGATCTCTGTTAGGGACGCCACCAGGGAGTTGTCGCGAACCTGGCAAGTCGAAAGTGGTCCAGTATAAGATGCATAGGCATCAGGGCTTGGCCCTGCTCCGATTCACCCAAAAATGCGAGGGAACACCAACAAATGGTTGGTTTCATCGTGGTTCCTCTTAGCACATCAAACAACTATTCCCACATGGGTGTGCCTTACTGCACTGGATGGATGGTGATGTGGGTTTGCGGGTGTGGGTCTGCTGGTGTGCAATTTTTCGCCGTTCCATGGCGTTCCTTGTCTGTCAGCCATCCCGTGTCCTGGCTGATGTGCTTGCACCCCAGAGACTGCAAGGCACCTTGCGTGGGTCACTGCTTTTTTGGGGGTGGCTTGGGCCTAAAGCTCCAAGAGACCTGCCCTCGCAAAGCCCAGGCCATCCAATCCATCCACATCCGCGATTCCATGTTTGTTTTTTTCTCCCAAATTGAGTGATGACCCTCGAACTGCTTCCATGCATCCAGAATGGGACCAGGCCCTTGTTGGAAGCACCCACTTGTACTTGCCAATGACCATAGTCGAGGCTTCCAGACATCGCTCAGCTTGGGGAAGACAGCAACTTCTAGTCTATGCCGGCAACTGCAACAGGAGGTGCCAAGAACGGTTTAGCTGCTGCAGGCGGAGCCACTCCGTTAAACATGGGCAAACAGCAGTATGTGGGGGTTCTCTTCGGCTTGCACAATGCTTTTGCCCAAGCCGATAGCATGAGTCATGGCGCAAACCAAAGCTTCAAGAGCAAGTGCCGCAGGCAGAAGTCCAGAGCAAGGACGAGCTTCCACAATTGCTTGATTGTAGCTGTCCCTGTCAACCAGTCATATCAGGTAGACCCTGGATGTTCTCAAAGAATCCTCAAGCTGAGCCATTTTGTTTTTTCTTGAGTGCAGCTGTTATGCAACCTATGGACGTCGACATCAGCTGCAAGTTGGCGGGCATCCCCCTGTCCTGCTGCCTTCTGAATCTCGGGCAGAGCTGCGAAAGGTTCGGATCACCACAGATCAAGCGGTTGCTGGCTAGGTGCCCTTTTACCAAATCTTGTTTGGTTGGGAGGCTTCTCCTACTAAAACAGACTACAGAAAAAAGGGCACCCTTATTCTAACCTCTTTGCTGACCTAGTTGGTGTTCGTATGCGGACAAAAAAGGCACTTGATGATAATGTCAACTTCGGGTTCATCTGGAAGATCCTACTAAGCAGAGCCCCCTCCTAAAATAGATAATTCCCCCACAAAACCAAAATGAAACCACCCTTGAGTGGTGCGGCCCTCCGGATTACTCCGCCGGTAGCTTGATGGATCCTTGAGCAAAATGGGCGAGGCCGTGCAGTGCAAAAGACTGGAGGTCTCCGCCATTTTGCGACATGCATTTTGAGATTGACCAGTTCGACTGGTCTGTTTGTTCTACGCGTCGGCTTGCATGCGGGGCCTCACTGAAGGACCTAGTTGGGCCTGGAAAGCCGTATGGCGATTTGTTTTCGCACGGAACCTGTATTTGGATCGATTTCCCGTTCGGTCCTTTTTTCTGGCCGGTGGCCGTACTTGGCCGTTTTTGTTCACAAAATGTTGCCAAAGACCGTAAATGACCGTATGGCCATTTTTGTGGCCCAGGCCGTATGGACAGGAAAAAAGAAGAAACAAAACGTCACATATGGGTTTCCAGGTAACCAATCCATCGATTGAAGCCTTCGAAACGTGTCAAAGTCAAGCCCAAACTTGGAGCACCCGCAAGGCTTTTTGGACTACTTTTTGCTCCGCCCTGGGGGTTTCGGACAGAATCAACGCAGTCACCTGAGACACAGACACTGACACAGACACACAGAAACGCACACAGAGAAGCAGACACACACACACAGGCAAACACGGTGACACAAACGCGACACACACACACACACAGACAGAGACCAACGCGACACAAACACAGATAAACCCACCCACACACACACACACAGATACACCCAGCCAGCCAGCCACCCACCCACCCACCCACCCACCCACCCACCCCACCCACCCCACCCACCCACAGCTACACTGAGGGTCAAAGGGTTCCCCCCCTCTGTTGCGGCGACTTCACGTTCCGAGGAACGCCTCGGGCCCCCGCAGCAAGTCCTTTGAGCAGCTGGCGGCAGTGGCCGGCTCCTGGTCCGGGGCCGTGGTCTCTAAGAGCCCACCAGCTGCAAGCGGAGAGCCCCAGAAGTCGTTGCCTTCATGGGGCCCCCTTTGTTTTCCACGAACCTACCAACAAAACAGGTATTTGTGTTTCGAAGTTGTTTGATTCTCTGGGGCCTTTGTTGTGTTCCACTACCCCAGGCAAAACATATGATTTTTGGCAGGGGTCCGAATTTTAGCCAAGAAAAGATGACGGGACAGTGAGCTTACATAGAAAGGAAGCTATCACATGGTGTGCGTTTCGTATTTAAAGAGGCACATGTTGGCTTCGAGATCCTTCTAGATTCCCTTACTGTCCCGACCTTCTTTGATACCCGCTGACTCGCGCTTCGGCTTGAGGTGCCACCCTGAACGAGCGTTTAGGGAACGACCTGCCGAGATACACGGAGGTTCCGCTGGGCGACAGGAGCGATCGGAGCGCGACCGGAGCGACCTGCGCCGATCGGCGCCAGTGGTTGGCAAAGGCCAGCCAGGGTTGGAAGTGGGTTTCGTGACATCCTCCAAAAGTCAAACAGAGCCTGAAGTCTGCTTTTGAGTCTGCAGGTCCCAGAAGCCAAGGAATCCACACTTCTTTCCCCTCTAAATCCATCCTGGTGATCCCAGGGCCAAAGGGCTCCGAGAACTCGTGTCACAGCTGCCAGGGACCCTTTTGCGCTATGCGAGCAGATGGAATTGAGCCATCAAAATGCGGGAAGCGTAGTGAGGGATGGTCGCCAAAAAATGTTGCGGCTGCCTTTGCTATTGACATATGCCTTTTAAGTCTTACATGGTCCAGGTAGGCTCTAGTGCCAGGCGTTGGCTGTGAGTCAATTGTCCCTTACCGCTTGAATGGCAAATCCCATATTTGCCTATTTTTGCTTGCCTGGAAGCACTGGGTTGTCAAAATTAGGCAGTTCGGGGGATCCCTTTTTTGTGACCTGAAGGTGACATCCGGAGAAAACGATGCAAGGGTGCATGCATTGTACCGACCATCTGCCAACAGCAACAACAGCCATCAGCAACCAACAGCCAACAACCCACAGCCAACAACCCAGCAACCCATCCGCAGCAACAACGATAAGAACCACAACAGGTTGGCGCGGAGAGCGACCAAAACCCCAACAGCAACAACCAAACCACCAGCCAACCAGCCAGCCAGCCAGCCAGCCAGCCAACCCAACCCAGCCCAGGCAAGCCAGGAGCCAAGCAACTCACCCGAGCCACCGCCTGACCGACCGACCGACCAAAATAATCTCGCGATTGAGGACCGCCAGCGTGAACTCGGAGGGCCTTCCCAACCATAGCCTCAGCTTCTACACCGAGGCTTTGGTGAGGCCGGATGCACGCACATGTGCCCATAACACGTCTCCATGACTTTAGCTGTCGAAAATGGAGACTCCCCCCCCCCACCCCCCACCATCTTTGGAAACACCCTGCCAGTTGTTTGGCGGGTTTAGGGGGCAAATCTGGAGTTGAGTCCGTTTCACAAAAAATGAATCGGCCAATGACATCGGCCCAATCTAAACTTTATGTGCTTGTTGATTCCCGACAAATTCATGTGCCGAAGCGGGAGCGCGAGGGAAACCGAAATCAGCTTTCTTTGTTGAACTAGGCTGTGAAGTGATGGTAGCCCATTAGGGATTTTGGACCATTATATAGATATACATATTTATATGGTTGTCGAACACTAAGCATCTTGAGCCGTCAACAAGCTCGTGCTGATACCCAACATCTTCCAATGGTTCCTGCTTCCAGTGGGGATGGCTCATTTTTTCCATGCTTTCACATCCCTCACTGGGAACTCTGACAGGCTGAGAGAGGTGTCGCCCAAGCCGTTCATTCTGTCCATCTCCGGCCTTTCCTTGGACGAAAATCTGCAGATGCTGGACTACCTGGAGCAGAGCTCGGCGAGGGCGCACTTGAAACTTGACCTCTTGCGATGGAATTAGCTCAGCTTAGGACTCCCCGGCTCTCCAAACAAGCTGTTGAGCGTTCTTGGGGCTTATTTTGGGGCCACTTGACCACTTGACAGGTGATGTCAAGCCCACGGGCTATTCAACGGATTCAGTGACCTCCCTTGGGCTATTTTAGGGGCTTCCTATGCAAGAGTCGCCATGGCACTTGTGGCTTTTGAAGGCACCCTCCCAGATGGCCATGATTCCCCGCCTTGTTTGATGTCCACCAAGGAAGCCCCGGTAAAATTCACAGCCTCGCAAATGAGGTGTATCCGCCTGGGAACCTATCACCTTGGGGGGGGCGGGGGTCAGTCGGGGGGGGGGATGGTTGTTTCCCCACCTTAAGTATTCTACCCTCAGGGGGGAACGGCCCTCCAGAAGCTTTTGCGCTCGTTGCACTGCTTTCCCGTCTGCTTCGGGCAACCAAGGCTCTAGCCTAGGCCCAGCATCCGATTCGGTTTGCCAACAGCTACCCTTGAAACCATAGTCTAGCCATCAGGTGACCATGGGTAACCCTTTAAGCCTTTCACCCTTACAGGGTCCTCAGGATACGTTTGCTCCAGTTAAAACATCGCCGAAATTCCAGGTGAATAGAGTTAGAGGATCTTGTTAGATGAGACTCGGGTTTGTGTCCAAACGGGGACCCCGAAACTGGCTGTACTTCTTTTGACTTCCCTTCAAAGCGACCACAAAAAGAATACGCACAAAAACGACACCCCCTGGAGGTATCCTTCAATCGAAACCGGCGTCATTCATTGTCCGAGCAACCAGCAAGCAAGTTCTTCCTGCAAGGGGCCAAGTTCTACTTAGCTCTGAGGAGTGCAGTGGAGGTGAACGTGGCTTGCCCAAATGTGCCAGGCAGGGAACCAGAGCTTCCGAAGAATGGGGGTTGACCAAAAGGTCCGAGATACATGGGATGACCATTGGGGAAGTCCACCGAACAGATTTGATATTTGGCACATGGGAAAAGTTACCCATGGCCAATTGGGGGCTGGGAATATAGATCAGCCACCCACGTATGCAACTTCGAACTTCAGCTGCTATGATTCACTCACCAGGACCCCCCCCACCTCCCCGCCCCCTTCGACTACTTTGTGTACTGCTTGCTAAGGGTTGCGGAGAGCCAAAGCAACTGTTTTAAACTGGCGCTCAACCAGGCCCTTCTTTCATAGACAAGTCACTTGCGCTGACTGGAGCAACACTAAGTGCGTGTTTTCAAGCTTGGGTTGTGCTTGTTGAGGCTCGGTACTCAAACGAGATCCAAGGAAAGCCCCAAGTCCATTTTGGTTCCCTGTCCAGATTCCTTCGAGCCATAAAACAAATCAGGTTGGTGAAGTGACTCACCTTAGAGGAAGCCACCCCCAGTAGTGCCCTTGTACCAACTTTTTTGGTTGGGAGGATTCCCCTACTAAAATAGACTACAGAAAGAAGGGTACCCTTATTCTAACAGAAGGGGTCGTCATGGGGGCTGAGTTTTTCAGATTCCTGGGGGCTGAGTTTTTCAGATTCCTGGGGGCTGAGTTTTTTCAGCAAAAAAAAAAACAATCAAAAAAAAAGCAACACAGCCCATCATCTGCATCTGCTAGTTCAGGGCCATGGGTCTTCTTTTTTTTTGGTGCCTTTGCTCATAAACACCAAGAAAACCAAAAAACACAAAAAAAACACAGCCCATCATCTGAAGACAATACTTTGTTGATGCTTTCTTGATGCAAGCTTTCTTGATGCAAGACATCAATAATATGATGAGATGTGTATCAACAGAACATAAGCCTCTTCCAAGATATTCTGCAGGTAACTCCAGGTAACTGGAGATAATTTATCTCATCTCTCATTTCATCTTCTGCAGGTAACATCTCATCACAAGCAATTCCTTGTGGCTTGTGTCTACTTGAATCTATTCTGAACAGCTTTACTGTTGCAAGAGCTCTTCAGCAACACGAATAGCTGCAGAGAATCTTATTCCAAAGCTCTTATTCCAAAGCTGAACAGCGTTATGCAGAAAATGCTATTTGCATCAGCAGATATCGTTGCAGGTGCTCATCTTTGCATCTTGTGCTTCTTGAGCTCAAGCAACTACATTGGAGCTGTGCTCCAATTGCTCCAGCTCATTATGCGAGACATATGTTTGTGTTAGCTGTCTTTTCCCAAGAGCATGGGCAGAGCCCATGCGTATATTGAAATATTGAACATCCAACTGTTAAAGAGCTGAGTCTTGCAGCTGAAAGCTGCATAGATCAGCGATATCTTGCGTTTCTTATGATTTCATATGCATGGCAAGCTGTGCTTGCCATACTTACGTGTTTCATAATTGCAACACAACAATAATATTTGTCCCAAACATACATCTGCTTGCAGATTGCTAAGCATACGTCTTCCAAAATATTGCATACGTATGCAAATTGTGTTGAAGATTTGTGCCAAACATACGTCTTCCAAAAGTTAGCACCCTGAGGTTTATAAACTTGGCATGCGCAAGCATGCCAATTATCCAACAATAAGCTACAGACACACGTTTGCTAAATATTTGTGCCCAACAATGATATTTGTGCAAAATAGTTCTCAACAGGCTGTCTTCTGTGTAGCTTGAATCTAGCTCATTTTCCAGGTCTGGATGCATCTGAGTCTTCATTGGATCGAAAATGAATCTGTGCTTGCATGTCATCAGCCAAAACAACAACAAAAACGCACCCCAATAAATCTAAGAGGTCACGGGTCTTGATCTTATATTTTTGGTATTGTTTTAGTGTTTTTAATGGAAAAACTCAGCCCCCAAGAATCTGAAAAACTCAGCCCCCATGCCAGGAATCTGAAAAACTCAGCCCCCATGCCGACCCGCCCTCTATTCTATACTGGAGGACCTAGTTGAGCTTTTTCTGGGAAGCCCTGTGTTGGGATGCTGGACCCAAAGAGGGGGGTCCTGTGTCTCGCACGTCAGGGAAACCCCTGGTGGGTTACGACCTTCCACAGCTGGCGGAGGTGGTTCGGAGGATCAGCGACTTTGCAAAAGTTTGGCCAGACACGGTCAAGAGATCCTGGACTGTAATTAGGCTCTTTGGGCTTGTATGTTAGTATCCAAACAAGTTGTTCCGGAATTGAGAAGTACTGGGTGTTTGTGGTTCACTTGAACAAATGGACATGGGGGGACCAGCTTGCAATTTCTGCCGCAAAAAGCGAACTCCAGGTTTCCCATGTCCTGTTGAGGGAAGCAAGCAATTTTGGCCATGGCTCCTCCCACACCCTGCAACATGTTCAAACCGTCATGTGCGTCCCTCGTTGGAAAGTGCTGGATAGGGGTGTGGATGGGAATTTTTGTAGGTACCCTGTTCATCTTAGTTGAAGAGGACAAATAGCAGGAACCCAACTATTTTCAAGGGCGCCCTAGTTTGACACATACCCACACTATTCCCATCGCCACCCCTCAAAAATGGAGCTGGGTGCTGCATAGGGCAGAAGTGTTCATTTTTCCTGAAGGAAACCAAAAAGGGGGCAAGTGTTTTGAGTCTTCCTGGAACTCGGTTTTGTACCACTTGGGGGAGGGGGCAACCTCTCCGATTCCATGTTGTAGTTCCATTGTCCTAGTTGCCAAAACTCGAGAAATCGAACTGAGGTCCCCCCTAACACGTTGAACTAACTTCAATTTTGGCAGCAAACAGCTACTGTTTGAAACCAACTGACCCGTCGGGAAACGGATCGGAACTCTTTGGCGCTCAAATAGGTGCAGATTGGCATGGAGCGCAACCAAAGCCGCAGATTGGTCAGGCCGAAGCAATGTCGAATGCTTCCAAACCAACCGAAAGGAAGTCACTTTAGCTATTTGATAGCCTTTGGGTCTTTTCATGCCTTGAGATTGGGGGTGGTTTTTGGGAGAGCGAGTCAAGAAAACACTTTCGTTTGCTGCATCTGTGGTTGGTTTTTGAAGGGGAGTCGCACTGGAATTCCCCTTTCCACCAACATGGAACCTGACTGAGGAGTGGAAACCAATTGTCCTTTGAAATAGACTCAAATAGACCCTCGGGTGCGTTCCACATCAGTGGGCCGGACCAGAGGGGAGGTTTCCATTTTTTCCCCCAAAACCACCGCAAATGGCTTTACGCAACTATTGGGCACTGCCCCCAGATTTCAGGAGAGAGAGATTTCAAGGACATTGGCACTGGAATGAGTTTGATTTTTCCAAGCAAATTGACCATTTGGTGGGTTCCATGGCAGTGGACCGGAGGGGAGTTTTCCATTTTTCCCCCAAAACCACAGCAAGCCGAAGTTGCCAAAACGAAGCTGCGAGGTGAACACCGGCTGTTCCGCGATCGCGTGTTGGGCCTGAAGCTGCCGCCCTACTTGGACGCCCCCTTCTTCGATCAGGTGGCCAACATGCTGAACCCGCTTGCGCGGGCCAAAGGCGGGCGGGTTTGCTTCGGATGCCCGGCGCCGAAATCTGGAAGTCAGCCTTTGGAAGCTTTTGGGGTCATTCAAGGAAACCTTTAGGATCTTTTGAAGGGCGAATTCATGTATTTGGCCGATTTGGAGCTCGCCCCAACCTTTTTGAGTCCATTTCGAGCCCTTTGGAAGCTTTTGGGATCATATTTAAGGAAGCCTTTGGGATCCCCGATCCTTTGAGTCGGGCCGCAAAAGAGTTTGAAAAACGTGTAGCTTTGTTTCGCCTAAACCGTGGAAGTGAATTCAGATCGGGTAGAGACCGGCGCTCATGGGTTTGTTGAACATGGGCATATCCACATTGGCTCTCAGGGAACGCAATATTTGATGCCAGGGAAAGCAACTTGTTTTCCGTGGGGTCCGTTGGATGTTTCGAGCCGAAAACCATGTTCCCAAGAGGGACGACTCACATGGAATTTGCCAAGCAAGGGATTTGGCGGCTCCCATGTGCCTTCAGGTGGCTCACTGGGCTATGTGGTTTGCCGGGAGCTCAGTGCGAGGCTGCTTGATTTTCGACCCAGTATGCCACCCCCCCGGACTTGATTTTTGTTCATGGGTGTCCCATTCAAGAGGGAACCCTTCTCCGCTGCCAGAAACAACCCCCGAATAATCGATGAGGTGGGTTAATTCGCATTCCACGTCTTCAGTGGGAATGAAGTCGTTTCCAAAAGTTGATGTCCCATTCTTGTCGCTAATCGTTCTTATGATGAACATGATTATAAGGACCCTTGACAACCGAGGGACGTCTCCTGACACCCACTTTTTGCGGCGGGTATGATACCTCCTTTAGCTGTGGGGGGGTGATGCCCCGCAGATTTTGATCCCTCTCAGAACCCTGGCTCTGGAACCCTGGATCCTTTATGCCAAGCCCCAGTGCCCTTAGGGTAAAATAAGCTCAGGTGTGGTGCTCTTTTTAGTGCTCGAACAACCCCGCAGCCCTGGCAGAACCTCGTGGAACCCTGGTGGAACCTGGTGGAACCCTGGTGGAACTCTGGTGGAACCCTGGTGGAAACATACCAAGCCGCGAAAAAAAGAGGAAAAGCTGGGGTACTCCAAGACAGACGTGAAGAGAGTGGGGGCGCGAGCCTTGGAGAGGCTTTACTTCATACCCGACAGAGCTATTTAGAGCAACAACAAGGTAGCTGAATTGGGAACCCAATGGACAACCGTCATCTTTGGTGTTGTCGAGTGTACCCTTCTCACTTTGAAATTTATTCATTTGGGAAACCCAAATTCCTGTATCAGTTGGGATGCAGAAATCCCTGCGAATACTGGAATACGCCACATACCAACTGGTGCGAAATAAGTTTAACACCATGCACCGAACTTTGGGAAACTTCCTGTTGTTTTTGCTTGTCTCGGATGGATTTGTTCTCAGGCGATGACTTGGTGTGGATTGGTTGGTTTGAACACTCGTTGGTTACTTGTTTTTGCGGTGGATTGCGGATTGCGGATTGTGCTTCTGGGTAAACGGGGAAAAAAGCAGCTTCCAACCTCCACCATATTCTGGTTCCGGGTAAATGGGGAAGAACTCGCTTCTGACCTCCACCAAACACCAAGCAGGTTGCCCTGACTGTGTGGATTGGTGCTTTGGGGATCTTTGGGGGCTTTAAAAGCACTTTTTGGTTACTTGTTGTTTGGTGAACAACTAGCTCCTGACTTCCACCAAACACCAAGCACCAAACCACGAGGGAAGCTGTTCCTCGGGGTGACGGCGGCAGGTTGCAACACCTTGGGCTCCGCCTTGGCCGTGGACGTGGACTCCGAAGCCACCGTCTTGCACCCGAAGGGAGGCGCGAGACTCGCGGCCGCTTCGACCTCCTCCGCTCTCTGCTTTCTCCCTGGGAGAGAGACAAATCCGGGCCAAAACAATGGTATGTTTCCCCGGGTTTATCATCTAAATTGGGTTAAGATCCATTCGTTTGGGGTGGGCGCTTGGATTGGGGATCGCTTTCCTGTGCACCGTGACCTCCAAAGTGTTCTGGTAGACATCTGCTTTGGGGGTCTCTGAAGGCGAGTGGGGGGGGCTTCTGCTAAAGCTAGCTGAAAGTTTAATGCTGCGGAATGTGGCTGCGGGCTCCCGTAGCAGCATCTTGATCAACGATTATGTGTTACCCCGGTTACCCCCCAACAACAAAAAATGTGGCTTACCCAAATCCCACAAAGTGTTTTCAACAATCAGGTGGTTGAGCACAGACAGGAACACCATTCAATCCTTCAGGCATGTCGTTGAACCGTTTGCACTCCATAGGTTCCAGCTCTTGCACTTATTTTGTTCCGTTGGACGGTACGATTACTTTTGGTGCTTTGTGGCAATTATCGTAATTTGCCTGAATACGCAAATATGTCCTTTCTTTGAATGATTTTCAGCTTTGTTTGCAAGGAGTTCCTTTTTGGGTGGGGTGATTTCCATTTTTAAATGTAGAGCCTTCCAGTGGAGGGTCAGTGACCCTCCCCCAGTTTGCACAGAGACCCTGGCGGGTGAGTAGGGCGCCAAGCAGAAAATGGAATCCACTGGAACGATGACCACCCCACTTCGCAAGTTGATATCCCCAATGAACAAGTCCTATAATAGTGGGCGCAACCCACTTAGGTGAGCATCCCTATGCCCAGTTAAGAAGTGAGGTGTTCTGTCAATATGACCCACGTGACTTACGAACTGGTGATATTCGCTGCTCACCAAGTGAGCGGGGCTCAAATCCCTTATGGGCCATTTAGGTGGTTTCATGGAGATCACACTATGGTCCTTTTTCAAACCTTCCAGGTTGGAATCGGGCACTGCTCAAGTGGGATTGTGTCTTTTTGAGGCTTGGTACACTCAAGGTTGACACATACCCAAAATTAGCCCACCTTGCCAACCAGACAAGGAGACCCCAACAAAAAAGGGAGGAAAAACCCAACCACTCCTACCCAACCCCCCCCCCTTCCCCCAAGCACAAACAACAAAAAACACACACACCCAACCCCCTCCCCCCCAAAACAAAAGAAGAAACCAACAACACGAGACCATTGGAGGCTTCGGTGGCGCGGGCGGCGCTTTGGTGCGTCTTCTCGCGCTGGGCAACGTGCGCCACTTCCGGCAGCGCCTGGACGCCAGCATCGCCGTGGTGGGCTGCGGCGGCGCGGGAAGCTTCGGAGCTTCGGGGGGTCTGGCGGTTTCTCGGGGAACCCGAGGCGTTCGGCTTTCCCATATGGCCATGGGTCAAAACCCCGAAAATACCTCCAGTGAACATCCCAATCTCCATGATGCACCCACCCCAACATTGTACCAATGGTTTTGACCCACGGCCATATGATTGGTTTTGGTGGTTTGGATGAATGTTGAACCCGTATGATCCAACCCCTGTTTATTATTAATCGGGCGTTTCTGGGTTGAGTGGGGAATCATCATTTTGGAAGGCAGTCAGCTTCCTTGGTTTGGAGAGTGGCGATTTGGTGGTCGCTGGGAGTGTTGTCCCAGATGGTTTGGTTGGTTGGTTGGTTTCCCATAGCTTCCCCATACTCTGGACGGTTGCGAAATCCTCCCAGGCACCACCGAAGCAACCATGGGAAACCATTGTTTGTTGGCATTTACAGGGGAATCATCAGAAGCCAGGGTTTCATTTCGTGGTGCAGGAGTTCGTCCATCCACAAAATTAATTGGTGGTTGGTGGTTTGGTGTTCTGGGGTCGGTTTCCCATTTACCTTCAAGAACCAGGGGCCTTGTTGGCTGTTAATTTTTAACTTGGAGCGCGGTTGGCGGATATAAAGCGTGCATATGATGTCCACCAAGGAGCTCCCATTAAAACCAACCTTCAAAAAGCTACGCTTTCTGGGCAGGGGGGTAACACTCTACCTGGTATTGTTGATCTGCTCGAATTTCCCCGGTGGACTTGGACTTGCCAATACATATTTTAGTATTGCCAAGCCTTACTCTCCGATTCTGAGTACTTGATTTAGTATTGCCAAATCCAAATTGAGTATTACCAAGACTTACTCTCATATCTACCCTTCAGACGTAATTGAGAAGGCTCTGATCTTGGAGTTGTACACCCACCTGAAACGTGCTTTGAATTGAATCAACCCTCGAAACGGTTAGATTAAAGCGGACGAGGGGTTCTGGTGTGGTACTTTGCTTTTTGGCCTTTGTTTCTTTCCCGGGATTTTCTATAAGAATTGATGGCTTTGGGGACCACTGCATTCCTACATCTAAGTAAGGCCTTTAGGGGGAGGGGCTTAGACAACCCGCCATTTAAGCAGAAGGGGCAAAGGCTTTGATATGTTTCTTGTGCCAGTATTTTTTGGGGGGAAACACCATCTATCTTTTTGGGGGAAAACACCATTTATCTCGAAGCGAACCTCGAAACGGTCACTTTGAATTGGGAGAACACTTCAATGCGACTGCAAAAGCGGCCACCACATTAACCTGAAACTCCCCTCAAACACACCAACCTCATTTTTGGGGATGTAAAGGGGCACATAGGACATTTACACTTGGAGCCACATGTTCTAACAAGGCTCCAGCTCTCTTCTATTCGGTGCAGGCGTGGCAAGTGGCGAAGACGCCTTCGCGTTGATCCTGTGCGGCGCGACTTGCGTCCAGGCGGCGAGCGGAGTTGGCATTCAGTCAGAGGCTGACATCTTTTGACAGGATACCTGCAGAAAAAGTGAATATTGCGAGTAGGGGGTACCCTCCGATGCACCTTGAAATTGAATCTTGGAGGGTCCAACAACGGAACCCTGAAGCCGCATCAAGAACATATCCCTGGTTGGCCCTTTTCGCAGCCTACCTGTCGTTTGCTGCGGTGAACAGCGGACTCGCCTATTGTAAGAACTGCCACAAGGGGAGCAGAAAGTTGAGTCAGATCGATAGTCCTACACCTGCAGGCTGGCAATCGGGGCCCACTTGGTGCCATTTGGGATTTGTGGGGCAAATAGACAGCAGAATCTCCAATGTCTATATGCCAACAGTTGACCCACTTTCATGCATGGAGCATTTGGGGTTGGAAGGTGCAGATTGTTTGTTCAATGTTTGCATACACTCTCACTTTCAGTGCGGGGGCTCGCAGCGATGGGCAAAATCAAAAAACTAAGCTTCATAGACTGATTCAGAGGGAAGGCAAGGCAGCCCGGTGGCGCCATAAACTTTTGCAGTCTTCTCACTGATCCTTCCAAATGGCGGGTCAGGGGGACCCCGCCCCCCTCCTCAAAACTAAATGTTCAGCAAACTCAGCCCACTTTAAGGAACTTGGCCTAGGATTCGCTCACCAAGTTCAGTCCGAAGCCGACTTTGCGACCCACTTGACTTGGCCGACTGCACCGCCCCGACAGGTGGCCACTCAGCACCACATCGAGGGCAGTCGCTGCTTCCAGCGGATCGCCGCAGAGCTGCAGCAGTTGATGCGCAGGACGTGGCGCTGGGTTCGGCGGTCGGCGGTTTGGCGGGAAGCTTTCTGGTCTCCAAACGCATGTTATGAATATTTTTGGTTGAGGAAGTAAAAAACAATTGCATTTTGAAAGTATTCTGTTTGGTGTTGCCCAGATTTGAACCAAGAAGTTTGGCGTCTGTAAGGTGCCCGTTGCAACAAGGGGCACAATATAATATCACCACGCGATATTTGTTTCGTGCACAGGGAGCTTGCCGGGACAGCAGGCCGGGATCTGAGTTTCAATCGCGAGTTTAAGTCTACGTCGGAATTCGAACAATCGATTTCGGGCGTCAAGAATGTTTGAATGGTGACGTTTTTGTGACTACTGCGGGCGTCAGGATTCGCACGAGGATCGCCAGCCCGATGAATACATGGCCAATACTCGAATCAGCAGGTCGCCAAGGGCTTTGCTCGACCTACAGCCCACTTTAGCGAGCCAGACGCAGAACCCAAGTCCATTTTACTGCAGCAGGTGACCAAAGCCGCCTTTCAAAAACAAATGCTTGGTGTCTAAAATCGCCATAGGTTTTTGTAGTAGGTGGTTCTCCTGCTTGGTTTCACATGAGATATAGCAAGGCCCGAGCTTCCCAGTAAAATCATGTGGTGCGGCAGAGGTTCCAAGCCCACCAGCTTCCATTTGCTTAAGAATATCGGTGTTTTTTTGTTCTCCCCTTCTTGGACATTTTTTTTTGTCAGGGGCTTAAGCAAATGGATGCCAGAAGAACAACATTATTTTAAGCTGGTGGCTTGCCTTTGATCTCAGCTGCTTCCTTGGATTGTTTTCGGTTGTAGGTGCCAGAGTCTGCGGTGGGGCCTGTGGGGCAAATGTCTTCGGAGTTGGTACTGGGGTGGTGAAAGAGGGAATTTAATTGGAAACCGCCCGATTTGCCTAGCCAAACTCATTTGACCTGGTGTGTTTTTCGGGTCGTTTCCACCAACTTGACGCCCGTCTTGGGCAATGCCATTCCTTTTGCCATGCCCTTGGGGTAGGCTGAACTTTGCGACCAAGTTGCCTCCTTGACCAGGTGCGACTAGCTTGGGACTAGTCCAGCCCAAAACCAATCAGAGGAGTCACCGATCCAATGATTTGATTCTTCCGACTCTTCACCATTTGCCTCAATTGCTCAGAAGAAACGTGCACCAGTCACCCGCCAATGTACATATTTGATAGCTGCAATGGCTCAAAGGGAATCCATCAAAAAAGTCGAACTCATGGGTTGGTTTGGCGTCAACCTGGCAAACGGATTGGGCCAAAGAGCGTTATATATATATATATATATGTATTGCCTTGAGTAGAACACTTGGCGCTTCCCGGCCATACCCGAATCCGTTCAAATTGAGACTTTTAGAGTTTAGTTGGATGAATGTCATGTTCCGCGAGCCGCGAGCCTGCTTTTAGCAAGGGATCAACCAGCCACCTACCTTGGATGAATGAATCTGTAGATAAGAAGCCTTGTGGATTCTGAATTGGATTCCTACAAAACAATAGAAGAGGGGACACCAATGTTTTTTTTGGTTCTGCTATGATCGCTTCCAGGAAGGGCTATTTGAGCCTGGCCGACTTCCGAGGCAAGCTGCGTGTTGCTGCGAAGCTCTGATTCAGCCAGTCGCCCCGAATTCGTGAGTCAGTCAAAGACCTGGGTTGTTCAAATTCATCCGCAAGATTCGTGTAGTATTGGCTGCTCTTTGGTAAAGAAGCAAAGAGATAAGCTTGTTGCGCAGGAGATTGAGCCATCCAGTGGTGGTTCCCTACGTGTAGTACGTTGTAGTGGTGTCCACTGTGGACTACGGATGATGATTGCGGACCCCCATTTTGAACAACCCAGCAGACTGCTTGGCTGCATGTGAGGTACAGTCAGAATCCCCGGTTCACATTTCAATCGACACTACATTTTCTTGGAAGGACACCCAGGGACCCAGGATGGACACACTGTTCGAGGCGGTTTTAATTCCCCTCACAATGCTGGGGATCTTGACAGGGGCTCATTGTCGGCTGCACCCAGTTGGGGCGAGTGCTGGGACGAGAGCAACCGTGCAAGGACGGAATGCAGCTGTGCAAAACAGCAGCGCGAGAGAAGGCTAAGAATAATGTTCGACTCCTGAGATACATTGTGTGTGTGTGTGTGTCATGCTTGTCTTGTGGTGTGTTGGTTTGGGAGCACAAAAACATACAATAAAAACAAACAAACAAACAAGCCAACCAACAAACAAAAAAACAAACAAACAAGCAAGCACACAAACAAACAAGCAAGCAAACAAATAACCACAAAGCAAACACGCTTGTTTGTTTGGCTCTTGTGTACCTTATGTTTGTGTGCTTGTGTTGGTTTGCTTTGTTTTGCTTTGCTTTGCTTTGCTTTGCTTTGCTTTGCTTGCTTGTTGGCTGGCTTACTGGCTTGCTGGTTTGCTGGCCTGCTTGCTTGTTAACTGGCTGGCTGGCTGGCTTGCTGGCTTGCTGGCTTGCCGGCTTGCTGGCTTGCTTGCTTGCTTGCTTGCTTGCTTGCTTGTTAACTGGCTGGCTGGCTTGCTGGCTGGGGCGTGGCTTGGCGTGGCTTGGCGTGGCTTGGCGTGGCTTGGCGTGGCTTGGCGTGGCTTGGCGTGGCTTGGCGTGGCTTGGCGTGGCTTGGCTCGCCTGCTTCTTTGTTTGCTTGCAGACCCAGCTGCGACAGAGCCTGACAGACAGACAGGACAGAATTCCCAGTGGCCTGGGGCCGCCAGTTGGAGCCAGGACCAGCCGCGACAGGTTGAAAGTTCGCACGTGGCTGGGCCAGACCGGGCCAGGTGATCCGTGACAGCGCCGTCCGCTGAAGCTCCCGTCGCCGGACAGGACAGCTACCAGTCCGAAGCTGCCTGGGCGTGACAGGCCGGAGCTTGAGGCTAGCGAGAGTGGGCAAGCCAGCTATGCCTGGTTTGAAGCCAGAGCAATGAACCAGGCAGGTTGATTAGTTCAGGCTGCTGATGTGGCATTTCAGCAAGCGCTTTAAGCAAGCTTGACGACAAGCTTTGCCACCTTCCCGCATCTTCCGTTTTGCTTGTTTGGCCGCTTGGCTGCAGCATTTTGTCGGTTCTCACAGATGGCGGCGCTGTTTGTTTGACAATGGTCCAGGCGGCAGGCGCACGTGCTTGCGCCTCTGAAAATTCGCGCATCTCACGCTTGAAAATCATGCAAAAAGCTCTGTCAAGCCAAAATGGAGCCAAGGAAGAGTTGACCACTAAGCAGCAACGGCCTTAGCTGCGTGTTTGGTGGAGACCCCCTTCATCCGGGACACTCCAAATCTTCGACTGCAAAAGGAAAGCTCTGGGTCAAAGGTTGCCAAAACCAAAAGAGCCCTGAGCGCTCCGTCTTCCTCTTCCTGATCCCTGCCCGTCAGCCAGCAGCATGCTTGAGGCTGCGCGCGCAGTCGGGTTGACTTTTTGGCGCCTGAGCAGCCTAGCTTAGCGAAGCGAACTTCTCAGGTGGGGGTTGTCCGAGGTCAAACGATTTGCTTTTTGTTTGTTTGATAGTTGTTTGTCTGTTCTCTTGTCTGCCTGCCTGATTTGATTTTGATTTGATTTGATTTGATCTGAGTTGAGCTGAGCTGGTTTGATTTGATTCGATTTGATAGGTTGATTGACTGGCTGATGGGTTGACTTGATTTGCCTTCCTTGTTTTGCCTGATAGATTGGATGGATGGACGAATGGTTTGACTGTTTGACTGGTTGGACTGATTGATTGGAGTGACTGATGCGTTGATTGATTGCATGGCTGGTTGACTGACTGACTGACTGACTGGCTGACTGATTGATTGATTGGTTGGTTGGTTGGTTGGTTGGTTGATTGGTTGCTTGGTTGGTTGGTTGGCCGGCTGGTTGGTTGGTTGTTCCGCTGCTGGATTGATTAGTTGCTTGATTGATTGATTGATTGGTTGGTTGGTTGGTTGATTGATTGATTGATTGATTGATTGATTGATTGGTTGATTGATTGATTGATTGATTGATTGATTGATTGATTGATTGATTGATTCCTTGATTGATGGATTCGTTCATTGATTGGGTGATTGGTATTGAGTAGATTGATTGGTTGGTTGGTTGATTCATTGGATCACTGCCTGACTGGTTGACTCATTAATAGGTTCATTGGCTCAGGGTTCATTGGTTCGTTGTTTCACCCCGTTCATTCATTGGTTGCGTGCGCGTTACTTTCCAATATTTGTCTGTTTGTTTGTTTGCTTGTTTGTTTGTCTGTTTGTCTGTGTGTTTGTTTGTTTGTTGTTTGTTTGTTGTTTGTTTGATTGCTTGCTTGCTTGCTTGCTTGCTTGCTTGCTTGCTTGCTTGCTTGTTATTGAAATCGCTACGCGGTCCGCCGACGCCAGTCGGGTGCAAGGGAATTTAAGACCTTCTTGATTTTTTCATGGAAGTGATGCTATGGATATGCAAGGGATGCAATCTGATTTGCTCAATGTTTGTGCACAACCCAAATGGAGCCCAAATAGAGGTGATGTCAAATGAAGGGTGTTTTTCTGCAACAAAAACATTAGTCTGGGGGAATTCTAAAATCACAGTTTTTCATTGAGAAAAGCTGAAATCATCGGCAGGCGCATTGAAATCAAGAAGGGTGAGCCTTGAAAATCACCAGGCGCCTCATGGCGTGATGACCTGTTTGTTCCGATGTTTGTTTGTTTGCCGTTCATGTGTTTGTGTGTGTGTGTGTGCGTGTCTTGGTGCTTGCATGGGTAGGCACGCCACTGGGGCATCATGAATCTGAGATACAATAACCCAGCAGTTCAAAACACCATGATGTGTCACAATTGATGAGCCGGCGCCTGCGAGACCAATAGGCCAAGTTCATGTGAACGACTGTTACGACACTGAGCAGGTGTTAACTTGGATTGTGAGTGTATCCTATGTCATCATGTTTATTTGGGTAGTAGAAATAACGCGAAGCCCAAGCGCAGCCGCAGTCGTAGCTGTCATTGTGGCTACCATTGCAGTAGCAGTGGCGGTAGAGGAAGAAGGTTGGGGCCATGAGGATGGTGTTATTTCTGATGAGATCGATTGAGTTTGAGCAGGCTTGCAAGTGAGTTGTTTTCCGCGCCTGTTTGCGCACTGGGGGGTGCTGTTTATTCCAGATGACGCGAGGAGACGTGAAATGGATTTCTAATGAGCTATTCTTCCTCAAGTCACTGCAACGCAGTGTGCCTACATGCGGCAGCAACGCAATATGTTGGACCCTTGTCCGAGAGATCTCATGTCCTGCGCCGTACAAGCCGCACAGGCCCGCTTGGAATCCGAGCGCAAGATCCAGAACTCGCCGGCCCGACGGTTTGCGAGATTGGACGATTTGGAACAGAAAGCTCGCCTCTACAAATTCGCCTGTTTTCTTTGATAACAGCTTGAACAAAGGCATGTTTTTGGTTTGGGGATCTGCTCTCACAATCAATCAGTATGGGGAAGGGGCCGCACCACAAACGGGCAAAAAGACTGATTACTGCTTCTCTGTAGTTCAAATACCTGGTTTTCTTACGGTACGTATCGGAAACAAAAACAGGTGTTCCATGGTGGGTGACTCCTTTTTCAGGGAGGGGCTGACTTCCAAAAGGTAGACATTTGGAGGTAAGCCTCAGTTCCTCCGAATACCAAAGGGGCAGGTCCAAACCCACCAAGCAATTGTGGGTGAGGATACCGTTTGCTTCATGTGTCCCCGACCCAAGCAAGAGTCACACTTAGATGCCCAAATATGCCAGTGACCAGACCCCGACGCCGACGCCTGTTTTTCCATGTTCAAAACGAAGTGCTGGTTGAAAAAGTAGCGGCTAGGTGATAGAGGCACAATCAGCTCTTACACGCTTTGACGGCGACACCGGTTTTGGCAGGGACCGCAGCTATGACGAGATTCTGGTCACAGAGAAGCTGAACGCTGGAGTAGAGACCTCAGCTTGGGTCTTTGGGGTACCTTCAGTCCGTGGGATTCCAGCCCTTGACTCCAAGGGGGTTCTTTTAAAATCACGATCCAAGCAAAACCTCTTTTTCTCTTCGAACAGGATACGGAACCCTTTGCAATGCCAACAGCTCTTTCGGCAACACCTACATAACGAGCAGTGGGAGGGCGCTGGTAACCAACCCCCCAAAAAGCGCCGAAAAGGAGGCCAGAGGATGTTCGGATTCTGGTCACCTCTTTGCGGCCTTCTGAGACGTCGCACAGAGCGTGGTTTTGGAGCCCTGGCCTAGCCTCCATAAGCAAAAAGAGGCCTAGCCTCCCAAAACTGGAAGCTGACGAGGTGGTGGAAAGACCTGTTTCCTTTGGCGCCGGTTCGCATCTTGCTGGCGGTGGTACATACACAGGTTCACAGGAGGTTTGTTCTGGCTGTTGATGAATGGACGTGTCATTGCGTCACCCCCCTCCTTTTTCCTGGTCTGCTGATTGACCAATTTTGCGAGTTTTGTGCGCATGAGTGAGCGCGGCGTATATAGTTCTTTGTTGGAACATCTTTGGGTTGGAACATGCTTCCCTGGAATGACCACAGCACCATCTCAAAGGCAACTGAGCGCCTCGCACATGCCGGCCTTCAGGAATACTAGGATGTTCATCCCCGAAGGAATACTCCCAGTTGTTCAGCGGCGTACCCCAAAATGTTGCTGGAATATACATTCTATAACTGGTAAAAATCTATTGGTTGGATGTAGTTCAAGG